GTGGGTGGATCCCCGGAGCCCTTCCCAGAAAAAGCCACTTTGGGCAGTCAAATATATTGCAAGGCTGCACAACAGGCATCTTTGGAGTATACATGCATTTCCATTCTTCCACAGGGCTGATATGCCCCTGAATGTCTTCTTCTACACATGAGATGCTACGGCTTTGAATGCCCCCTCCACAGGATGAGGAACAGGCAGTCCAGGGTGTACTTTCCCATCTGGGGAAAAAAAAAACCAAAACAGAGAGGCATCAGGAAAAGGAACCCCTGCTGCCCCCCCCCCCACCCGCACCCCCCCCAATACATAAACTTATCTGCAGGAGGCATTTTTTCTGATTAATGTCAGTAATAATTAACCATATATCTATTCATAAATGTCCATAACAGCAAACCACTCTCATGGCTGCTCTCTTTAACTCACAGATTAGTAACATGAAATCTCTCCCACTAACCCAGTGACTACTACCATAGATACTCTAAATACTTTTAACTTAATTCCTTTTATTTAATTGATTGGTTTATCATATCTTCACAATTTGTCATGTTCTTTGTCACAAATCACTGGACACTCATTGTGCTCTGAAGCTGATGCTTGTTTTGCAAGAGTTTACAGGGAAACAGCAGTGTTTCTGTCCAGGAGATAACTTGAGGATAAAAAAGAAGATGGGAGGAAATTACCCAAAAGAAGATGTGACTATACTGATAATATACGTGGCCTCTGATGGATAAACCACATGGGCCTTGTTTATTTACAGCTGATGCAGTGAGAGGAACTGAGAAACCATCTTTTCTCTGCAGGTGCCATTTGAGAATGTAATGACAAATCCACAGAACAATGTGTATGTTCTGAAAAGCTATGCATACTTATGACAATAATCCTTTTTTTACAGTCATGCATGTACAATAATGTATGCATTGTTTACAGGTGTACATGTCTGTTCACATAAAATAGTCTGGTATTTCCTCTCTTATATTCAAGCCATTGTCACAGAGAGGATCCAGGACCGTTGTCATGATCCAGCGTGGCTAGTCCTGTATAATCCTGTGCATGCCTGATGGTATAAAAGTGTGCATGTTCCACCTACCTGGAAACATCTCACAAAATCTGTTTGGTATTTTTGTTTGGTTGGTTTTTGTTTTGTTTGGAGTTTTTTGGTTTTTTGTTTGTTTGGTTGGGTTTTTTCCACCTAAAGGCAAATGCCCTTTTTATAAGGACATTAGAAATAATGTTTGAAACAATGATTTTGGTCATAAGTTTCCATTTTTTGACTTAAACAAAAATTGTTTTTCTGGAAAAAACCCCACCTGTTTCCCCTTTCAGGCAAGAAGGAAAAGAAGTGAAAGGTGAGGATTTTTTTCTCCCACTTAATACAAAGGAATTGTTTTTATTAAGTAATAATTACAACATCATCAAGTTGAAAAACGCTTATCCTTCCCTCTGATTTTTCATCATATCAACCCATCTTTTTCTCATCAGCTCCAGTATGTGTAAGCACTACCCACTACTTGCTGAAAGTGCCATAAAACTCAATGTGAAATGGCTTATGTTAATAGCTGTTTATGAATGGTAAAGTCACTGATTAATTCTATGACTTATCTCTAAGAAGTGGTGAGACAATGTTTACACCATGCCATATCCATCACTGTGTGCTCAGCATAAGCCTCATATGTCACAAACGGGTAATTTTAGCAATGTTTTTAGTTCAAATGTGTTACGTGTGGCTCTGCTGAACAAGTTTCTCAGCATACGGCTAAGGTTTCTCACTACCACAAATCCAAATGAAGATGCCTCAGACTGAAACTCCTGAACAGCAGAAACTGCTGCAGCCAGCCTGAGCCAGCTTTTCCCAGGCATAAAAGGAATTCCCTGGAGTCTTTGGGACAAGGTCCAGATGCCTTAGGCAACCTCAGCAATACCAAGCAGCTTAAATCTAGGCAAGCAGTTTGGTCCTCAGGTTTTGTATGAGTGTGTGATAGGAAGGTGAAGTTTCTCTGTTGCACAACTCTCAAAGCAGGTGTCACAGCTCCTTTTGAGGTACAAAGGGTGCAACATTGACCGAGAATTTGTGAAAGGAATTGGTAGCACATTAAAAGCTCCATACCTTTCTCTCTTCAACATAAAATTCAAGGCTGAGGGACTGCAGTAGGGAACTCTTGCAAAGATGCCTTCCCAGATTTGCTCTCCACTTCTCCTGGGCTGTTTGTTGCTCTCCTCTGTCCCTGGTATTAGGTGCCAGCCTCAGGCAGGTAACGCAACCAGGGCCTCTCTGGTTTGGTTGAGTGGGCTTTTTTTTTTTGGTTTGGGTTTTTTTTTTGCCTAAACTCTGCAGGTTCAGAGGCAAGATATTTTTTATCCGCCTGACTTGGCCCTGTCTCATACCAGCCTTGTGGTCTGTTCAGCTTCTGCTGCCTCTGAGGTTTGGAGAAGAGACATGTGGCTGTGTCTTCCCTCTTGGGTGAGGGAGGAAGACCCGAGCCCTGTTGGTGGGTTCACAGGAGCACATGTGGGAGAGGGGGAGAGGGAGAAGAGGCAAGCAGCGGAGGTGCCAGTCAGCAGTTGCAGCTTGAACAATTGATGGGGGGTCTTAAAGGAGAATAGTGCGGCTGGGAGAGTGGATGTAAAGGGACTGTTACGGGGTGAGACCATAATCCTGAACAGCTTGAGAAACAGTTTCAGCCTTTTGATCATTTTCAGGGAATGATTTTTTTTTTTTTTTACTTTCAGTGTTACTGAAAGCCAAAAACCTTAGGGCATTTTGATCCTTTATTTTGGATTTTCTTCAGCTGTAAAAAAGCCTCTGCTTAGCTGCCAGCTCAGGATGCTTTTTCTGTAAATACAGTCCCTCCACTGTTAAGTACTGCTGAATCACCCTCTGATATAAAACTATTATCCACCTTTTGTGAATGTACATGCCCTCTGTACACAATTGAAATATAATGTTTTATTCAAAGCTGGATTGTTAAACCCCGTATTAATATTCTAGCTTCTATATTCCTTACTAACAGAGGTTTAAGTTTTGAGGTTAGGAGGTATCTATGTGGAATTTTTTAAAATAAAGAACAAAAAGACAAGTGTGGTTTTTTTAAAAAAAGGGAATTAGACACAGGGATATTTTTTATAAGTGTATGTCACAAATATTTGGTGATAATGACTGTGTGTACATAACCATAAGCACTTAGCGAGGAAGAGAAAAGCCTAATCCAAATGACACAGGTTGTTGACAAAGGGTGTCAACACGAATGGCAGCCGCAATGCTTGGCAAGTAGCTTCTCTCCTCCTTGTCTTCTCACTTACAGTTTGGGGTGGGTCCATGACTCGGCTGGAGGCTGCTGAACATGAATGCACTGCGCTTGCACACTGATGTTGAAAGCTCTCTGCTTTAGGCCTCACCATGGTTTGAGGGAGGTCATTTCCTCACCAGGATGAGACTAACAAGTAGCCTAGGGGTTTCTTTCTGTGATTTTGTACTCAATGACACAATAAATTAATGAAGAAGGAAACACAACACAATACTATTGCATGTCCAGGCAGTATTTCAAAACTAAAAGGTTATTATCCGTCAGCTACTAAACATTTTTATCAGCACCAGTCTTACTCAGTGCTTTAAGAATCATTACTCATGTGATTACTTCTATGAGAAGGTCAAGGCTTACATTAAAGGCATTTTAATTGTGAGATAATTAATAATACAAATCAGATCTTGATCTTATTCCTGCCCCAATATTTGATTTCTTAGAAAAGCCAATGGATTAAGGCCCCTGGGGAAGGCATTAGCACAGGTTTGCAGGATCAGAAAACAACACTAATACTGTCTAAACCCAAAATATCACCATTTACAAGCATGCAAGAAGCAGCATTGCTGGAGAGAGTGAGAAAGTCTGATGGTTCATTACAAAGCCGCAGGTTATAGTCCTGTTCAGAGATGAGTAAAGGGAAGAAAAAGGACAGGTGTGAGAGAAAAGGGGAGATGGGGCGGGGGGTGAGGAAAGAGAGAAAGAAAGGGACCACACGCTTAATAAGGTTGCATTGCTGCTTCAGCTAGAATATTGTTTCAGTTCTGCATCAACAGAATTTCTAACAACAGGTTAACACTTGAACATCTCTAGGTTAATCTGCAGGAGTCCACAGCAAGAGAAAAGCAGCATTTGTTAAATTAGTTTGAGAGCAAAGCAGAAATGCAGAGAAGAGGAAAAAAAAGAAGTAAATGTATTTGTTAATCCTAGCATCTGGTTGACTGTTTTACGTACCGAGGAAGGGGATGATAGAGGTCATAGGGCATGATCTGCTTGTATCCATCACTGTTAGGAACAATAATGCCAACCCTCTGAGTAGAAGGTACACATAATAAAATAAACACTAGATGATTACATTATACAACTTTTTTTACACAATATTACAAAAAAAGCCCAAACAAGATATTTTACCTAAATTGCTATCACATTTAGAACAAAATTTATGCTCCCATCCTACTGTCAATGAGTCATTCAAAGAATAAACCACAAATAACTACTTATTCTTATGAATACATTACTGTTTGACTGAGAAGCAATCCATTACCACAAGTGATCCAAATGCTTTGTCCAAATATTATTCAAATTTATGAGGTTACTATCTACCATTAAAAAAAAATAAATTCTACACTTAGTACTTTCTTGGAGCTTGGATCTACAGTCACTGAAGACAACAGGAGAACTTCTATCTGCTTCAGAGAGCTCTAGGTCAATCCCTTTCCTAACTATTATATGGTTGTTTCTGCCCTTCAGATAAAACATCTGCTTTTACAGGGGCTGGGATTAGAAATTCAGGGAATCCCAGTGCAAGAATTAAAATCTGCAATTCTTGTCTCTCCACCTTAAATCAATTCAGTTTCATTCATCTTCAGAACCTGCATCTTTATTTGGGTTTTTCTGGAAGAAAGAAGGAGCTTGCGAGAAGAGTAACAAGTCTGGTTGGGTGGGTTTTGTTTGGTTTTGGTGGTGTTGTGACTGGTTGGCTTGATTTGCTGTAATGTTATTTGTATAATATCTATATTTATAATATAACATCTAAAGGTTATAGAAAGCAATAATGTAGATCAAAATTAGTAATTATCTATCTGAACCATTATTATGCCAGTTATGCGTGAGTTGGAGGTCACTTGACTTGTTGGCAACTACTATGTCTCACTGAATTCCTGATCTGGAATTTCATCTTTTGTCTGCACTTTTTATAGATTCTGACTCAAAGTAACTCTGCCCATGTTGTCTCCCAATTATCAGGCTTATCTATTAACATCAAATTGATGATCCCAGAGCACCTCATCTACCAGTTTCATCAAAGCCACTGTGGAACAGGGGACTTGAATGGGGCAGGTGGGTAGAACCATCAAAGAGTGAATGCATTAAAATAAAAAGTGTGTTACAGAGAAAGGAAATTGACTGAAAAGAATGAAGGTGGTTTTTGGAAGCCTTGTAGAGATGAGAAGCGCTAGGTATGCTGCTACAGATTTCTGCAAGGGGGAAGGAGCAAAGGAGGGGAAGGGAGAAAATAATCTCCATCTTCAACACAGTTCACAGAAAAATGCTGTAAGCATCCAAAGGAGTCTTGTTGTGCTAAGGCTAAAGGGGTCTATTCTCCTTTCAGTCAACAGGGTTTTTATGTGCATAATTTGTCCACAATGGGAGAATGGATCCCATTGTGTTTTCACAGCGAGGAGTCAACGCCAGGTCAGCGTGCTGGAATTTTCCAGCTAAAGCACGGGAAGACGCTGGAGTGTGTGATGGGGACTAGACAGCTCCCTTTAAGATTAGCAGCCTCTGCAATCACAGGAGCCCTCTGCGTGAGTGTGCATATTTGCATCTTCAGAGAGCTGCCTGTCTCCACAAAAATCTAAACATCTAGGAGAGGCAGTTCTGGCACTGGGAAACTTTGGAAAAGACAAATGGGTCATTTAAAGTATGGCCAATGAACAAGTCTTTTCAGACTTAGCTTGATGGGCAAATGCCTGGAGAATTTTGAGATATTGTGTACTAGTATTTTAAGAAGACAGAAGGGGATTTTTTCCTGAGGTTTTTTTTGCTCACACTTTTCGGTATCTCTGCTGTTTTCCTGTCTCTTCTACCACTGCTGCTGAAGTTCCACTCTGAAGGTTTTTGCACTTTCAAGCTCATCAGCTTGCTGAGGAGTGGTTGGAAAAAAGATTAATACACCAAGCTCAGAAGTGAAATAATTATACTAGAAAAGCATCTACTGCCTAAGAAAGAAACAGATTACAAAAAATTTCTCACTCATTGCAGTGAGAAATGTTTTCTTTCTAATAAACATGGTCTGTATGCATAATCCAGGTCTACATGCATTAGAATTCATAGCATCCAAGGCCATTCCAATGGAAATAACCATACCACATCCAAACACTGTTATGAAGATTAAATAACATTTACAAGGCACTGGATTAATATTGTTATTGGAAAGGTTTGACCCTCAAAGAATTCTGCATACATAAATTGCATTTCTGTAAATGGTATAGAGCTCCATGGAAAGACTGTCCTTGTGCATATGTGAGGGGCTGTTAGAGGTTCTCATTCTGTTACTGCAAGATAATGATCCCCAGCAACGTAAATCTCATGGACATAGTAAGGAAAAAGACCCCCACAACAATACACAATGGCTTAATTTATCACTTTAAAAATTGGTTTGAAGATACAATAGCAGATTGTCATTGTACCATTAATGGCAAGTTCATCTTTCCTAGCTAGTCCTGTGGGGGTTTTTTTTGTGTGTTCCACAAAAAAACCCCACAAACAAGCCTAAGTGAACTATTTAAGAAAAATCTTAGAGATTACTTTGGTGAATCCTCTACTTTTTGACTGGACAAAGTGGTTTAAATTCCATGAATCTATCAGTCCATCATACTCCTATTAAAAGATGGAAGAGTTCATGGGCTTTGTTCACTGTAGATTGCAAAGGGGATTGTGTGCTAAATGAAAAGAGCAGATAATAATAATTCCTCCACTACACTGAGATTTCTGGCTGATGTAGGAGTAGCTTACAGGACTGATTCACACAACACCTACAGCAAACCTGCTTCGGCAGGAGCAGAAGCCCAAAGCAAATCCTTTTTTTCTGTTGTGTCTCATATGTCTGAAATCTCCTATGCATTTCAGACCAACAAGTTGTGTCACATACTCTGCAGATTGGTTTGGTTTCATCCTGAGTGCTGGCAGCTTCAGCTTCCCAAGGCACATGTCCAGCTGGAGTGGCAGCTGCACATGCCAGAGGTGGGTGTGCTGCACTCAGGTCTGCCATCTCTGCAAATGTTTGGCTTTCCCCTGGGACGAGTGCTGGCAGCCACATTCCTTGAAAGTCATGTTTGGCGTTGTCTTCCCCAGTAGCTCCTTTTCCTCCTTAAGCTACCCCATTAGCACAAATGGCAGGCATGAATCCCTTCCTCCTGCAGCTCCCCAATGACTCTCTCTCCAACAAGGTGCAGCCCTTCCCGCCTCCCTCTCCTGCATGCCCACAGCTCTTGGAGTGGGCGCTTGCTGAGCCGAGCAGGGGCACGGGAGCTAGAGCTGGGAGAAGAGCCAGCAGAGAGAAAGTACATCTCCCCTTGAGATGCCTCAGGATGGTGTCACTCTGCATGGGAATGATGTGCCGAGGCTGGGAGTGGGCAGACATGTCTGTCGCTCCTGCACCCTGCCATGCCAGCGCTCAGGCTCTGCAGGACACTCGCAAGCCTCCGGCTCACTTCTGCTGTGGGTTCTGTTTTCCTGGGGGTTTCCTACCTGCAGTGCTGCAGAGCTCCGCTCTGGGGTGGCTGGAGCTGTTACACCTCTCTCCTGATGGGGACTCACACCCTGATGGGGAAATCTGTCAGACTTGAGAGTAAATGATCTGCGTGGCAGGACTATGCCACTTAAGCTATGGTCTGGAGTATGGCTAAGGTATTAATAGCAACCAGCAAATAATAATAAAATGTTGAAGCAGCTTAAGTTGGCCATGGACAGCTAATTCATTAAGTGAAAGGAAACACTTGGAAGACCTGGAAAAGTTCATCACAAAGGACAAGAGTTTAGCATCTGAGCCAGCATCTCCTTGAGAGCCATGTTTATCACTGGACAGACAACAGGCTTGTGCCAAAGTCTCTGGTTAACACTACAAATCCTGATGCTAAGGCAGTGTGTGATGCTTGACCCTCCTCTCACAGCGCTCTGTGAAGATGTCACAGTATGACATTATCACCTTGTGCTACAAGAATGCTTTCTGCCCTGAGAAACATGTATTGAGGCCCTCAGATAGACAGTATCCATTAATGTTTCCCATCATTATTTCCATTCAGAGCTGGGGTAGATGATGTCTACAGTAACACCACAGGTACAGGCAACATTGGCTTTTGAATGCCTACTTTTGCCGGTAGACAGTATCGTAATTCTCATGTACGGTACCAGCATTAGTTACATTTCTGTTTTTTCAATCACCATGCTTAATCCTGAGATATAGATAGTGTTGCAATCATCTTATCATATTACACTTTATCAGTGTGGAACTTGAAGAACTACCATGTATTTTGTATTTATATATCCTTTCATATGGTCTTAGTACTTTATGGCTTGGTAAAAGCCAATGTCCCCTGCCTAATCATTTTTAAATGGAATGTCAGTGGATACTTAAATAACCTACATAAAAATGCAAAGGACTGCCAAGAAAGCTATCCTTCTCTGTCAACCTCCAGAAAAATCTCATACTTCAGACAGCATGTCTGTTCAGCACAACAGTATCTCACATTTATAATAAACGACTTGTTCATGGTGTACAGATTTCAGATTCTAAGACACATATGGTATACTTATCATTGTCACAGACTGCTAAAAACTAATCTCTTTACAGGGCTTGAAATGGGTGTCATCAATTGGAAGCAGCAGAAGTACTTCCTTCCTGTAGCATGACTGTAATGCTTTTAAAAATCTTCTCCCTTTTTTATTCAGTTTAATATTTTATGGTGGTTTGGATGGGCAGTGTTTGATACAAAGATGGAAATTTGTTGTTATTTTCCACTACTAAATGTTAAGAACTGAACATCCAGCAAAAACCTCTGTGAGTGACGATTTTACTACTTGCTGTAGTTTTGGTCTCTTCTAGGGCTTAAATAGACTACAGCTCCCATAACTTCATCTTGGGCAGACAGATATCTGTATCTGATGCTTATAGCAGTACAAGAACTACTTTCCCACCTTATGGTTTGTTATCTGATGCATCCTGACAGCTCCTTTCTGCCGTTCTGTCTTTCTTTAGTATGAACTATCTCCTTAGAGCTCTGCTC